AAGGTCATTTTATTTGAAAATCCAGTCTTTCAACTAGTGCAATCATTTCGGCAGGATAATAATTATTTTCTTCCAAAAAACTTCCATTGTTCTTATGCACGGTAAATGCCTCAGATGCACAAGCACAATTATAGTACTTTGAACTATAGATGTCCAAGTTGAAAATTAATCAATCTTCAATGAACTTATACAATTGTTTAGTTTTTGTTTCACTGCATGATATCTTTATGAATTCTGATGCATTGATACGCCTTAGCAGCAGTTGGTACAATTGCGGGTTGAAATGCGTGTTACTATAAACGAGTTTTATATACACACAAAATTCCAACTATGGACTCTTATGTATATTAACTAAAATTATATTACAGTGTCGATGCAACTCATTCAGACGGACTTGGAAGACTGGTTAATGATGCCGAGGCAAGAGTGGCGAATTGTCTGATGAAAAGACTCATCATTAATAGTCAACCTCACTTGGCAATTTATGCTAAGAGGGATCTATGTAAAAACGAAGAGTTACGCTACGATTACGGTGTGAAGGACCTTCCATGGCGAATTCAAAAGGGTATATAAATGACATAAATTAAACTTGCATGTCTTTTATAGCTCAACCGAAATGAGTGACAAACTTAGCAAACTTGACAAACCATTTTATACGGTCTGAAGAAAACTTATACTTTTTTAAAAATTGACCACTGGATTCAAATTATTATAATTCTAATTAACCATTATACCCTACAGACCGATTAAAACACAAACGAGAAAAATTCACAGGGCTAACGATCGCAGAGAAGGCAAATGAAAGTGCCAAAGGTTGGTTAGAATAACTGAAAAGATAGAGTTTATATTTACTTAGCAAACATGCATCTTTGAAGCCAATTTGAAGCCGAATTGAGCACCAGAGTCCCTTTCTATTCTTTTTCGGTGCGATTGCCAGCAGTGGCGTAGCCAGCATCATTAATTGGGGGCATATATTCATATATATTCATGTTAGAAGACTGTAAAGACGATTGATTTGAAAAGAAATTAATCCTGCTGCGTATCGTGAATATATGAATATGCCCCCCCCCAACTAATGTTCTGGCTACGTCATGCACCGATCGCCAGCCGTGAAGGCAAAAAATAAAAATAGACTTCATGGCACCATGGTTCCTAATTGGCTTCAAAGGTGACCACCAAGTTATAGTCCCAGTTCACATAGAGCACCCATGGTTTCTCCTTGTGCCTTAGGGCGTTATTTTCATATCGGGGTACTGTAAAATCTTGTAGTAACGTTATCTAATAGAAGATTTAGTCAAACTCAATATTGCAAATATCATTATTATAATATTCATATTTCGATAATAAAACAATGCAATGAACTGTTTTTAAGTAGCATTCAGTGAGTATAAACTATAACGCAGAGGACGCCGGAAGATCGATAAAACGATAATTGGGGGGGGGGGCATATATATTCATATATTCAAGTTCACAGACCGTAAAAACAATCGATTTCAAAAGAAAGCAATAATGCAGAACTCGAATATATATGAATATATGCCTCCCCAATTATCGATGTTGCGGCGTGCCTGCTATAACGAACATTGCCTGGTACAAGACTTTTAGTTTCTGTAAAAGCTTATTGAAAATACGCTGATTTGTAGACCAACAAAATGAGGACACTCCCCTCGGATCCATGGTTATTGATGATCATGCTCAAGTTACTAGTAAGTAGTTGTTAGTTTAATGCACGACATTTACGCCTAGATGCAGTTAAAGTAGCATTAATAAAATTTTTCTACGTTGCAGGCCAAGCGAACAACCAGAGTAATATTTCGTGTGTCACGCCTGTGTTTCCACAAAGGCATTTGGAGGATTATGTCATTACACGTATGTGATTGCTCATGTAATTTCACAATTGAAACTTTTCTTAACCTGTATCTGAGGAATATATAAAAAAATAAAACAAGGGCAGCAGCTACTTTCATGCATGCAGTAAAACTAAGCAATATCAGATAAGTTGATAAAAAAGCAAGCCATTGCTGTTAGCCATAGAGATTTCATACAGAGGTGACATTTAGTTGTTGTTAATTGTTGGGTGCTCATTTGAAATATTTTATAACTATGTAACGAAGCCTACACCCATGACGAGTCTGTCGCCTTGGAAACAGACAATCATGTCCTGGTTGCCAGTAAGTGTTGTAAATTTAATGTACGTTATAATATACATTCTCGGACAGGTATATATGCCGTGGCGTAGCGAGCCCGACAATTTAGTCATGCTATGCTAATATTTTGGTGTTCATTGACTGTGAAAACAATGAATTTCTAAGGAAATGAATAATGATAATAAATAAAATTTGCGTAGCATGACTAAATCGTCAGGCTGGCTACGCCACTGTATATAGATGTAAAGAGGGCGTAGCTAGAACGAGAATCGGAGGGCGAGGCTGTTTTATTCAGATATCTATTTCTGTCCGATGGATTTCTTTTGTAACACTTACAAAAGAAATCCGTCGGCCATGCCCTGAATATAAACTGGATGTGAAAATATTTCTTCCAGAAAAATGATATAAATGTAACGTTCTCTTAACTCTGAACAGCTACGGCTACTTAATTGACGAGGCAAAATAAACTAATGAAAAGAAATCAGTTTAATATTTAAAAACAAAGTATAGCTGCATGTATACTGCATGCACAGCTTAACGAGAAAATGATCCAAATATTCGTGCATTCACATTAGTATGTCTGCTTTACCTCGAATGACCAACTTGAAGAGGCTTAAAGTTTTTAACAAAAACAAACCGATTTTAATTATGAAAGGTCCATCATGTATGTCCACAAAAATTAACGTAAATTATAGCACCCGTTACCTTTTGATTATAACTCCCGTCTATATAGTGTGACCTCTGGTTAGCCTTAGTAGTTGTGTATTGAAATTTTCATTGAAATTTACCTTCATATATGTAGAACAAGAAAATGACGATGCGACAGTTTCCAACGAAATAGATGACTACGCTCAGATTACATGTAAGTAAAAAGTGTACATTTAATGCATTCTATAAACATTTGTTTTTAAGGGGAATTTGTAGCCACCTTAGCTGAAGCCAGAAATGAGTGGCAGTCATGCATAGCTAAATAGCTATATTCACAGGAAAACGCGAAAAAATAAACGCAGCCATATATTTGTGTCTTGTGCACAATAATGACAATATCATTGTTCACGAATCCGCAAAAAGTAGCCACCCTATCTTCCCTTGATATTTGTCTCGTATACCATCTATATAAATCTATATAAGTAAAAAATAAACTTATAATGACACTGCCATTACTTTTTTGCACAATTATAAAGCACTGTCAGTGATTGATAAACAAGAGAAATTAAAGGAAAGTGTCATTGGTAGGTCTCAACAAGTTTTAAACCAGTCAAGATATATATATATATATTATATATATATATATATATATATATATTATATATATATATACACCCGTTTGCAAAAACGTTGGCCGCAGATAGATATATAGATAGATACTCGAAATCTAATTAGAATTGCATATGTTGTGTAATCTGATTGAAATCCCATGCAAATGTGATTATATGCATTTCTATACAGATACATATGAAATATAACGGCACATCAACTATAACTTATATATCTGCATGCTGCCAATTCACAATATGGCATTAAAAATTACGTTACACGTATTGTTTGATCGAAAGCTTATGGTAACGGTTTAATTCCTAAGATATACGTTATATTGTTATTTATAAAATGTTTTCCTTTAGGAATATGTATCATACATTAAAAAGTTTATGCTTATATACTATAATATAGAACAAGAAAAAGACAACTCTGCTACCGGTGCAGAATTTTCCATGGAAATTGATGGGCAAATCCAGCAGAGTAAGTTATATACAAGAATATAAATTATAGTTATATATTCCTCTTTAGCAAAGATTATTGCATCAACGTTACACCACGGGAATTGAATATATTCGGAGTATATACATTCAATAGTGTAAGCAATTATTCTTACGCGGTACATCAGTGCATGTGATTAGCTGGTACAAGGTAATGTACATAATTCATATAATTCAATATATAAATATATAATATAAATGTTTACGTACATGTAGAACACCATAATGAATCTACTATAGTTTCCATGGAGATCGATGATCATTCCATGCAGATTACCAGTAAGTAAACGTTGTAACTTGACTAAAAAAGATAAACAATCTGACATTTTTGCACTTCGTAGTATACATGTAATTTCAAACTTTAGATATAACAGATGATCAGTGCCATGTTTGCTTTGGGGAGGTATCGGGGGCACATATGTGCGCATCATGTCATCGTGCTGTCCATGTATTTTGCGGTGTTGGAATAGGGCCAGAAGGCTATGGGCAAGAAGTAAGGTGTTTCAAATGCCAGAATACGGGTGAGTGAACGTGAGTTAATTGAAAAAATTCCATTCGGTAAAATTCCTTTAGGTTTATCCAATTTATATTCGCTCTAGCACTTATATATCAATTATATACCTTTTGACAAAAAATCCTTGGTTTAAAGAGAACAAAGAACAACAAGAGACAAGTGCTGCATATTTAATATCACAGGACATTCACTCCGATCGCTTACCATATCTATGGACACGCGCAAAGAACATTCTGACTTGAGTAGCATAATAATAGTTAATTAAAAAAAATGAAATTAACAACAAAAATAGAATTTTTGAGAATTTTGCACTCAATGCTGAATATCGCATTATACAACTATTTGTAAGGTTAACCTAGCTATTCCTTGTCAATTTAATTTGTTTTAATAAATTAGTGCTAGTATTCCCTGCCCGAATTTGTTCCTTACGTGAAGTCGGTTATATAATTATGCATTATTCTCTATTTTGCAGATAATTACTTCATCCAAACGAAACTGGCCCAGGTCCTAATTCTAAAATTGAGGTATTTTAACGCGTTTTGGGCATTTTGCCTTTCTATTTTGAGCTCATATTTTAGAAATATGCACGAGAAAAGAATATGGTACAAAAATGGAAAGCGAGTGCATGCAACTTATAATACAACATAAAAGTACTATATTTTATATAGGAAGAGAGCCAAAGTTCCAGTGACGAGTATGTACCTAGCACAGATGAAGAAGGTATGCATCAGGTCATGTGTATCGCAAAATATCGGGCAAAATACTTTTCGCACAGACGTCGTAGTCGGTTAATAAGCCTAAGTTTAATATTTCTTTTTAGACAAAGATTCTGAGTCTGAAGATGACGATGAGTATGCATTTAAAGGTACACAAGTTTATATATAAAAATTGTAGGAATAAAAACTATAAACGCTAAGAAATATTCAAGGGAAAAATACCACATAGCTATAAGTCGTATCGGGATATTGCTTATTTATCTCTTGCAATTCTGAAGAAACTGTTTAAGACAGTAAATGTACGATGTCTTAAACTAGCTAAATCTATAAGATTATTACAAATCAAACGTCTCAATGAAACGACTCACGGATGCACGAATAGCCGATTAATTGGTGGCTAGTAGACTAACCAGATAAACAAGTTGTTAATACTAAGCGCGCAATGCAGGTTGGCCGAGTAAATGGTACTAAAGAATGCGAGAAATGCCTCCCTGATTCCTATACGGAGTATCCGTGATTCAAAAATGAGTTCTAACCTTACCGGAAAATATTTTTCAAATCTCTTAGATGGAACAGACAAGTCCCTAATAAGAACTGACAGCAGCGCTAGTGAAGCAATCAAGAAATCTGGAGGTAAATTAATTTTATAGTGCATGTCAATTGATGCTTGCAATCCTCTCTATATAGACATAGTCCAAGTCCTTACAATTTTCCAACCAGTCAGATAACGTCTTGTCATGTCAGCGCCGTAGTCAAGAAATTTTAAGAAATTCTTTGTTGATCAATCTTTCTTTTTATCTGCATGTAGTGTATATAATGTCAAGCAGTGAAAAAGATGGAAGAAGAGTATACGACAAAAAAAATGCCTGCTACTTTTGTGAGAAGGAATTTGGCAAGCTTGGTCGACATCTCTTCCAAGTCCATAAAATGAAAAAGAAGTGGCAGAAATTGTAGCTCTCGAAAAAAACGACAGAACGCGCCAGTTGGTACTAGACAAATTGTGTCGCCTTGGTAATTTTAACCACAACTTGAAAGTGTTGGAGGTTCATGAAGGTGAACTAAAGGTAATGCGGAGACCAGGAGAAAACGAAGATAAAGACCCCTCCAATTACTTGCCCTGTCAGTTTTGTCATGGTTTCTTCCAGAAAAAGGATCTATACCGACACTGCCCAAAATGTCCTTTCGCTCAAGAAATAAACCACACCATGAAATCCAAGAAGCTGCAGCATGCGGGAAGATTGTTGTTGGCAGCAAATAAATTTCCATCCGGTGCTAGTCAACAACTATCAGATAACGTCTTGGCAATAATGGCGGATGATGTCAGCGCTGTAGTCAGAACTGATGAAACAATCCTAAGGGTGGGCTCCACACTAATAGAGAAACGCGGCAATGAAAAAGCTGTGGAAGTTTCACAACAAATGCGTATTCTTGCCCGATTGCTCATAAAGGTTAGAGAGTTATGTTGTGTTCCAACTTTATCGCTTGAGAAGAGTTTGACGCCAGCACAATTTGATAACCATCTTGCCAGCGCAAGATATCTTGGTGGATACACAGGAGCACCGAACACCAGTGCGGATCGTTTCAAATCCCCGTCGACAGCTGCCAAATGCGGATATGCCTTAAAAAAAGCGGCGTATGTAGTAAAAGGCCAGGCATTGCGAAGAAAAGACATGGAAGCAAAAACGACGTCGATCTGTTCCTAGAGCTGTACGAGGGAGAATGGAGCGCCAAAGTAACATCTCAAGCCCTGGATAATTTGTCATTTAAAAAACACAACAAGCCACAACTCCTGCCAATAACAAACGACCTACTAGCCCTGCGAACTTTCCTCAACGAGCAGATTTTGGAACTTAGCGAGGATGTGAAGAAAAACCCTATGCAAGAAAATTGGAGGAAACTTGCTAATTCAGCCTTAGCAAGACTGATTATGTTCAATAAACGGAGAGGTACCAAAACGCTCATGTTTATGTTCTGGGAGACTGATATTATTCAATGCTATTATTTTATATTATAATATCTTATCAAAGGACAGGGCAATAAAAATCATTTTTGCCTTGTTCAAAACATATACTTTCACCTTTCTTACTTTTGGATATCACATGTACTTGTTTGTGGTAAATGACTTTCGCGTTCTTTTAAATGCGAAAAAATAAGCTTTGGCAGATAAATAATTAAATTATTCAAAGTTACATGTATCTATACTAAACAAATAAACTTCATGTTAACAGGTGGGGAGGCTTCTCGAATGAAACTCGATGCTTTCCAAGGGAGGCCTTTGTGGGGCAACATTCACAACGAGGAAATAGTTTCTGCCCTTTCAGCCACTGAAAGAGAACTCTGCAAACGGTACGTGATAAAGTTAGCTACATTTTCATTATCTATATAAGTCAGCATAATGTTAATTGTAGAGAAAACCGGAAAAACAACTTACGCGCTTCATTACAAGGCAAACCTATAATAGTATAACGGTGACAGTCCAGAAAGGTTGAAACTTATAGTCCCATTATATAACCTGACGTATTATCCTAAAATAAATTAAACTCTAGGTTTGACATGGTGGAAATTCTTGGAAAACGAAACAGAAAAGTTCCCGTGTTGCTGACACCTGATGTAAAAGCTGCCATACTTGTCTTGAACAGGACAAGGGAAGATGGGAATGTGAACGAAAATCCCTATGTTTTCGCAGTGAATGACGGAAGTTCAAAACAGTTTTTACGAGGGAACGATGTTATACGTCATGCATGTAAAATGGTTGATCTTAAAAATCCCGACGTGATTACTTCAACCAACCTCCGAAAGTATGTGGCAACTGTGTCGCAGCTCGTTGACATGGATCAAAATGAATTGGGATGGCTGGCAACTCATCTTGGCCACGACGTGCACATCCATAAAGAGTTCTACAGGATGCAAGAAAGCACACTTGAGATGGCAGTAGTTGGTAACCTCTTAATGGCCATCGATGAAGGGAGGGCACACGAATTTAAAGGGAAAAACCTGCGGGACATTACACTTCAAGGTATTGTCAGAATGATAAAATTATTACATCAAACACCAAAATAAGCGCCGCCATACGGCAGACAACTTACAATTATTTACATTAACTGATTAGTATAGGTAATGATAAGAATATGTGAAGAAGAAGAATTAAAATTTCTTATCTTATTCCAGACTTTCACAATACTCAGAGTGAAGAGGATGCCGAGTCTGAGTTAGATAAAGGTAAATATTTCTAAGTAACACTGTTATACCAATTCCAGTGGTGGTGTGATCCAGGTGCTGTAATATTGCGGTTAGTGATACACATATATATATATATATATATAATATATATATATATATATATATATATATATATATATATATATATATATATTGTGTATGTGACATAAAACTGTTCAATTTCAGTTAACAGGCTCTTGGAGACACAATTTATGAACATTAATACATCACACAAAACCTATATATAGGCAGGTTATATGCAAATCCTATAGGCAACTACATGTACCCTTAGTGGTTATAGCTTCAGCCGGCATCCGGATCTAAATAAACTTCGTAACTTTCTTAACTGAATTTGCGCGTTGATACGAACGCTAGTAAGGCACGTTTCTCTCTGTCTCTGGGTCTCCGTTAGTAAAGTTTATCAACCTTCGGTTCATTGCGACAGGTAAAGTTGCTTAATTCAAACAGCATATTATATACCCAACAAAGCCTTCAACAACCGTGTGTTATACTGCATATTTTATACGTATTCCTGAAATTCTTCAGGCCAAAATCTTTAAGCTGAAGTCAGAAAATTGCTAAATTGCACTTTCTATGTTACTAAATATCTCAATATATATATATTGTAGAAAACCGATTCCCCAGAGCAACATAACATCGCCATCGCTAACTTCTGCTGGCAAAAGGACAACGACCAAAAAGGGTAAGGCTACATATGTGGCTTTTACTAACATTAATTGCTCTCAAACAATAAATCGCTTTGCGAGCAAGTGGTACAATTGTCTTATAGTATAACTACTATAAATACCATTTTATGAGCGAAATAAACATTGCATAATTGCAATTAATTTCAGTCAATCTTTATCCCCACATACAAAGAAGTCCGAAATCCAATCCGAAAAAATATAAGGGCCTGAAGCCAATATGATGCGCACGTAAATTGGCAAAAAATCATCAAGTTCACTTACCAGGTTGTTTTCAGCCAAGCAATGTTCAATATTTTCTAAAACAGAAAATCAATATATATTACATATAAGATCTCCATGTATGGGATTTTCAATGGCTTAAATTTTCAATGCTAGACAGTTTTAAACTTTTTAACCCTAGGAACGAACAAGTCCACTGAAAAGTCTAAAAAACATTGTAACAAGAAAAGGGGAACCCTCGAGGCAGGTAAGATTGTTGCAAAAATTTTAATTTCTGCATCATCAGTGACGCATGAATTTGTATAACGGTTAACCACACTGACTGTAACATAATGACAAACACTTGAGGAACGAAGCAGACACTTACTCAGGCCTAAGTAAATTTGCTCTCATTAAATTTCACCTCTGCTATTGCATCGTTATCAATTCTTTATCGTCTTCGAATAACATGCTATCTAACGCACAAAGCAAAACCATGCAGCCGATTCGCGACAGAAAAGTTCGTAACTCTCACAATATTAAACATAGAATGCATGCAGTCCATGAATGCTTATCATATATATGTATAGTAGCTATTTTTGAGACCTTGGAAAATATTTCCCTATGCGGACCTCCAATCTGGTAAATCACATATATGGTAAATCACAAATATTTACTCGTTAACACATGCACGAATTAAAGTTTTTTTATTTGTCCGAAAAATGTGGATATTAACATATCATAATGCGTGGCAAGAGTCATATGCTCAGAGGTTTCAAATTAAAAACGATATACCAACAGTCCATACCCATGCAAACGCATGCTGCGAAGATTTGTTTTATAGACTCGGCAATAGAGTAAGGTTGGTCTATCCCACGTCTTGCTAAGGATATTTTTTGGCCTTCTTTTGTGCACAAGGCACAGACCATTTTTTGAAGGGTAAATCATGCATAATCAGGCAGATTATATTCTGCAAAGGGCAAACCTAGTTAATTGAAGCTATTATTGCCACATTATGTTACTTAAGGCACTGTACAAAAATTGAATAACCTTTTGGAAATAGTGAGCAGTATTTGTACTTACTCTCCGCGCCTGTCTCGGATATATTTTGTCTTTATACAAAATCGGAACATGCTGAACAGAATACAAATATTTTTTCCACAAATCTCGGAAAAGATCATTCATTACAAGATCTACAAAGAGAATAAATGAAAATAACTTATCAGCAGAAATTAGTGGCATAATACTTTTATGGACTTTACATTTGAATTATCAACCGGGTAAGCTGATATATATGTAACGAACAATCAATTTTGTCACTCATAAGTCGTAACTAGACGAAAGACCGTCAGCCGTTCCATAATCATGTATTAACGAATTTAACTTACCCAGGTCAATAGCTAACTATGTTAACTTGTATTACATACAGTCTATAATGAATTTACTATAATTTATATAGGTCAGCAACGAAAGATGGTGGCGAAGAAAACGTGGACAACCCCAGAAAGAAAGGCAGCGTTGAAAACATTCCAAAAACACATTCAAAATGGAGTGCTACCCAAAAAAACGAGTGTGTTAAGTTTTTGGAGGAGAATCACGGGATAGTACAAAACAGAACATGGACAAACGTGAAGGATTATGTGAGAAACTACACCGTGAAAAAGAAGTAAACAAGTTTGAATCCTTTTATATTTTATTCAGAGCAGAACGCAGCTTGTTGAACTTGCCTCTTTATATATGATATTTTAGCCAGAATGCAATTTCAAATTCTTCACCAGCATTCTCGTTAATGCCGCTCTGATTCTGATCGTGAATTATAGAAGTGAAGTTGCTACGTGAATGTTAAAAAACTAAGAAACATTGTCTTTGCTGGAAACAAATGGCCAGCGATAAAACTGAATGACGTCATCGTGTGAATCAGTCGTAAATCTGCAGACGTCAAACCAATTCTATTATTTTATGTTTTCAATTATAACCTCAACATAACAAGAATGTCTTATATTAATTATTAAACGGATCTCTTTTCTTCAGATTACTTTGAAAGTGATTCCAATGACAATTATGGAGCGACGACCTTAGAAGGACTATTGCAACATATAGTGACTTTGAAACTGATGACATATTTAGTGAAAGTGTACAGTAAGACCTTAATTTGTAAACAGACATAAGTTTAAAGCCATTTTGTTGCACAAACAATTTTCACTAAAATGTTCGCTGCAATTTTCTTCTGTTGTGATTCTAAACAATTCATTAGCCATGTTCTAAATGAAGACAGCAAGTCGGATAGTTATATGTTTGTCTACATATAACATGACTGCTCTAAGCATCGGACAAACAATGATTTAATGATGTACAAAAATAACACAAACAACTGCACCATACCTGACAGCAAAAATTGTTTGTGCAAGAGTCGCAATAAAACTTTTGGGTAACTGTATTAATTAATTAATACTTCTGATTCACTTGTGCTATTATGAAAGCTAAGAAGGGAAAACTATGACATTGAGTTGTGTTCAGATATTTTTGCACAGTTTGTTTCAGATTGTTTGTTATAACATGCAATGTGCATTTAGTGCAAGCTGTAAACAAACTTTTCACATGTATATATAATATAATCTAAGGTTTTCACACCATAAAGCATGATTCAATACAAATATTTTGTTTATGTAATTTTGTATAATGTATTGTATAATTTTAAAAATGTCATAAGTTGATTTATGTAATAGATGTATATATAGGCCCAGTTTACATTTCAATAAATTTAAGTTTGATTTTCATGGAAAACAATTATAGATTGGTATATTTTTAGCAATTATGTATTAATGGCAGATAGGTTTTGTGCTTTTTCATAATAATATACGTCACTCTATTTCTGTTTTGGCACAAATACTTTAAGACGAATGACTAAACCCATACAATTCTGCCTGCTTGAGATGAATTTTGGGTGAATAAACTGACTGGATTTAAAAAATAAGACAGCAATGCAGGCAGTAGTAATATACAATTAATAGATTAATGATCAAATATTACATTTGTGATATCAAACAGGGTTTTGAATTAACAGAGTACTGGTAGTAGCACAATTATTTTATTTTCTTACACAATTCACCCCTGTTTATACTACATTTAATTTACTGGCACAGCACAACAAAATGGGTACTCATACCCAATTTTATATTTTTACTAGAGTTCAGGCTACCTATACAAAGACAGACCTGTGAAATGAGCATGAGTACCCATTTTAGCCGTGCCCATAAGTGTAGCGTAAAACGAGGCTTATACTATATAGTATATAGCCTATCAAAATAGGTACTGGTAAAGCTGGCACTGCAGCCATTTTGTTTGCCCACGAGACCAAACAGTCAGGAACGTACATCAACAACAAGCTCGGAAAAAAGGAAAAGATCACTGAAAGGCAACCGCCCTCCGCTGTAATTTTAACGTAGGTGATATGCACCTGGCAATAGGGACGATAAATTTTTGTTCAGACTTCAGATACCCGATTGCACAAATTATGCACACTTATAATTTACCCTCTGACAATAAAATTCAAAATTATCTTTCAACATGTACCTTGTGGGAATAAAAATCTTCATTTCTTAGATGATTAGCCGCTAAATTCGTCCAGGACAATCCCTTCTTTAGTTTTCCAACGGGAATGGAGATTTTGCGACAAGCTTTTTATATATTATCTCATAATTTTTGAGTTCATGAATGCGAACACATATTATCCTCCATTGGATTGTATCGATCAGGTTCGTCAACCTTGTCTTTGACTCTGCCGTTTGATATCGTACTAGGTGATAATTTCGGAAAAACGGCAAGAAAAAGAATAAACCGTTTACCATATCACGAAATTCTGAAGAATACCATACAAAGGTCTTTTATCATCTTTTATTGATGGTGCGAGCATATAGGTGCGAGTATGCTCCGAGTGTCATCCGACACTTTCCGAATTGTAACCGGACAACAGCGGTCCCGTTCAAAATTTCCAACTGTATTTTATTGATTTATTCATATAATATCTACTATTTCTACTATTATAAAATGGCGCATAAACATTATTTGTCTTTTCTCAAGAAGCTGTTACGATTGTTGGACGAGTCACAGATTGAAAAGATCGATGAAAAGGAAATTCACATTGATAGACGACCATAAATACTACGATCAATGAGCATTAGGTTGACTTTAGCGCCAGTACGGACTGTTGAAATATTTTCGCCGGGCAGTAAAAGACGTTCATCAAATAACGCGCCAAGAGTACTAAAGTAAGTGCGCTTCACTTCCTACAGGCTCGGGGATTTAATATAGGGACATTATTAAGCATGTACATGTAATGTAAGACGGCAAAACGAGGACGCGACTTAGACATTTCTTTAAATAAATACTATGGTAAAGAGTTGTTGTATATTATCAATCGTATCAATTTAATCAGGTATAAGACGTTGAAAACATTGTGTTAATATTTGGGAACAATTCTGAGAGCCTAATTCGAGGTACCGCTCACTGCGTCCTACGTCTCCACAACTAGAATTACAAATTATAAGTAAAACGCTGTGAGTGAATCCACGTAGTACTTCCAGATAGTAATGGCAATATTGTGCGTCAAAAAACTTAATCTTGTTTACATAATGATTAACTATACAATATTATATCGTCAATTCTCCCGAGTTGAGATCGCGTATATTACGCATTCGTATAGGATGAAACCGCAGTACTATGCTACGTGTGCTCAAAAAATCAGACCAACAAAAATCGCTGAAATCGAGATGCACGTCAACAATATAGGGCTAAATATTATTTATTTTCAGTGACCTATTGTATTGATAACATCGTCGTCGTGCCCCCGTCCTACATGCTTAAGGTCCCTTTTGGCATGCTGCGAGGGAAGATAATATCAGCATTTCATTATTGATCGAAACATGTATAATGTCTTAATGACTGCCATGCTAGCTGAATAAAATTGTGTATAAGTCATGCACAAAGCAGAAGCATTGTGCGGTCCTCGTGTATTACAGGTGTAGCACTGTGTGGACATAAAATGCAAGTCCACATTATGGAAAAATTCTTGTACAAGTTACCACAATGATAGTCGCATTTTATACACATTTTTTACACTGAACCTGTGAAATGTCATTGTGGGAAGACTTTGTTTTTTCTTATAATTCGCTATTTTTTTGTTTTTTTCGACTATATGTCCTGAACTGTTCGAGTTGTGTTTTTCAATGCGATTGAGGAAATTTCATTAGGATCCTCATTTTCAGATGAAAAATCTTGATAAACATTCTGTGGACTCGCTCTGAGGCCACACAATGTGCTAAGTCCGCGTAAGGTAAGACACAAACTTGTGGGAGCTCCCACAATGTGCGTTTCACAGATACAACATACCTTACATACCATACTGTCACATACTTTACTCGAGTGTAATTCCTAATCTCCGGGGGACAGTAGACGTTTCAATTGACTAACAATTTATTACTAAATACTAAGCTCTTTTATATACATGCGTTGGATTGAAATTTACATATAATATTTGCCTGCGCATAGGAATTTTATGTCTGTCATCTTGTTTCATTATCATAATGGGCAACTCTGCCAAAGGGGTGAAGGAAATCTGCTCTGAAGAGATAAAACTTTAGCTGTAGGCCAGTAATTTAACAATTAGATGGAACAATTAGATTATTTTCAGGGTGCTGTCATAAGACACACTCATAAAAATTTCAAGTTAGTCGCTTAAAGTCAGCTGGCGAAGCAAGTCATAAACTATTCTGAAGCAATTTCATACATCTGTTATTATAAGCAGTATCCATTCAGGTGAGTTACCTTTAAACTACTACTATTTTATAGCATATATACGCATCAGATTTAATGTGGTCATCGCGTGGCTGTGATCGCCTGGTTCAAGTTTTCAGTTAATTTTGGGCGTCCATATCTCGCTAATACGGCAAAATTCCTGGCCACAATGGCTGCTTCGTCCACTGGCCCTACTGTACCTAGGGTACTTATTTTGGGTCATTCATTCGTTCGTAGACTTCGAAGCGACCTACTTGCAGGTCTTGACGAGCGGGTAGCCAAAAATTTCGATCTTCATGGCACGGCCGATATATTTATGCATGGTGTGGGTGGCCAAACAGTCCTAAAATTAAGTAAGTTCGATATGGGGGTAATCGCGAGAATATCCACTGACATCGTCGTTCTCGATATAGGGACAAACGACTTAGCTCTCACCCCACCGGAGGTAGTGGGTTCTGCAATTGAGGAACTTGTTCGCTTGTTGCTCTCCGAATACTCCGTGCGCACAATGGTGTTGTGCCAAGTCACTCCCCGTGTGACACATCCCAGTTTTAATTTTAATGCGAGAGCCAATCTGCTAAACCAATATACCGGGGTAGTCCTCGAGCCCATAGACCAAGCCATTTGTTGGACACACCGAAGGTTCTCGAACCCATCCGTAATCCCTTATTTACCTGACGATATACATTTTAATCCCATGAGGCAGTATCGTTTATATAGAAGTTACCGCGGAGCGATAAAACACGCCATAGCGATGCTCCATCGCGATTGTAATTGATATAGTTGTTTTATATCCTCGGATTGAGGAGTTGTTTTATATCCTCTGATTGAGGAGTTTTCTTATATTCTCGGATTGAGGAGTTGTTTTATATCCTCTGATTGAGGAGTTTTCTTATATCCTCTGATTGAGGAGTTGTCTTATATCCTCTGATTGAGGAGTTGTTTTATATCCTCTGATTGAGGAGTTGTTTTACATCCTCGGATTGAGGAGTTATCTTATATCCTCTGATTGAGGAGTTGTTCTATATCCTCTGATTGAGGAGTTGTCTTATATCCTCTGATTGAGGAGTTGTTTTATATCCTCTGATTGAGGAGTTGTCTTATATCCTCGGACTGAGGAGTTGTCTTCTATCCTCTGATTGAGGATTTGTCTTAACGTTTGGCTACACCGGGGCTGGTGGTGCGGCGACTCAACCTGTCAGCCATGCCAGCCGCTGTGAAACTTAG